GAAATGGATTTGGAGATGATTCCATTCACGACCCAGCCTATTTTGTGTAGGTTTACACTAAAAACAGTCCAATTTTCTGAATGGTTTTCCTATTTGGGGAATCTAGTAGGGGAGATATTAATTTGCAGATTATCCCATTCGCTTCTCCAGCCCACTTTCCGTAGGTTTAAACCAAAAAGAGCACTATTTTCTGAATGGTTTTGATTTGGGAAATCTAGGGGTGATATTAATTTGGAAATGATTCCATTCTCTTTCTCAGCTCATTTTTCGTAGGATTACAACAAAAAGTGCCCAAATTTTACAATGTGTTCAGTTTGGGAATTCTAAGAGAGATATGGATTTGGAGATTTTTCCGTTCGCTTTCCCAGCCCAGTTTGTCTAGGTTTATACCAAGAACAGCACAATTTTCTGAATGGTTCCGATTTGGGAAATCTAGGGGTGATATTAATTTGGAGATGATTCCATTCGCTTTCCCAGCCCACTCTGCGTAGGTTTACACCAAAAACTGCACAAATTTCCGAATGTATTCAATTTGGGAAAACTAGGAGAATGTCCTAGATTTGGATATCCCCAAATCTATGAGATATTAATTTGGAGATTATCCTATTCGCCGCTCCAGCCCCTTTTTCCGTAGGTTTAAACCAAAAAGAGCACAATTTTCTGAATGGTTCCGGTTTGGCAAATCTAGGGGTGATATTAATTTGGATATGATGCCGTGGGCTTTCCCAGCCCACTTTGCGTAGGTCTACACCAAAAACTGTACAAATTTCCGAATGTATTCAATTTGGGAAATCCAACAGAGAAATGGATTTGGAGATGATTCCATTCGCGACCAGCCTATATTGCGTAGGTTTACACCAAAAACAGCACAATTTTCTGAATGGTTCCGATTTGACGTATCTAATAGGGGAGATATTAATTTGCAGATTATCCCATTCGCTTCTCCAGACTATTTTCCGTAGGTTTACCCCAAAAAGAGCACAATTTTCTGAATGGTTCCGATTTGGGAAATCTAGGGGTCATATTATTTTGGAAATGATTTCATTCGCTTTCCCAGCCCAGTTTGCTTAGGTATACCAAAAACAGCACAATTTTATGAATTGTTTAGCTTTGGGAATTCTACGGGTGATATTAATTTCGAAATGGAGATGATTCCATTCGCTTTACCGGCCCATTTTGCGTAGGTTTACATCAAAAACTGCGCAAATTTCCGAAAGTATTCAATTTGGGAAACCCCAGAGAGAAATGGATTTGGAGATGATTCCATTCGCGACTCAGCCTATTTTGCCTAGGTTTACACTAAAAACAATACAATTTTCTGAAAGGATCCGATTTGGGTAATCTAGGGGAGATATTAATTTGGAGATTAATCCATTCGCTTCTCCAACCCATTTTCCGTAGGTTTAAACCAAAAGGAGCACAATTTTCTGAATGGTTCCGAATTGGGAAATCTAAGAGTGATCTACATTTGGAGATGATTCCATTCGCTTTCCCAGCTCGATTTGCGTAGTTTTACAGCGAAAATAGCACAATGTTCTCAATGTTTCCGGCTTGGAAAATCTAGCGGAGATATTAATTGGGTTCCATTCGTTTTCTCAGCTTATTTTGCATAGGATTACAACAAAAACTGAACAAATTTTTGAATGTGTTCCGTTCGGGAATTCTAAGAGAGATTTAGATTTGGAGATATTTCCATTCGCTTTCCCAGCCCAGTTTTCGTAGGTTTATACCAAAAACAGCACAATTTACCGTAGGTTTAAACCAAAAAGAGCACAATTCTCCGATTGGTTTCGATTTGAAAATCTAGGGGTGATATTAATTTGGAGATGATTACATTCGCTTTCCCAGCCCATTTTGCGTAGGTTTACACCAGAAACTGCACAAAATTCCGAAATGATCAAATTTGGTAAATCCAAGAGAGAAATGGATTTGGAGATGATTCCATTCACGACCCAGCCTATTTTGTGTAGGTTTACACTAAAAACAGTCCAATTTTCTGAATGGATCCGAATTTGGGGAATCCAGGGGAGTATTAATTTGCAGATTATCCCATTCGCTTCTCCAGCCCACTTTCCGTAGGTTTAAACCAAAAAGAGCACAATTTTCTGAATGGTTTTGATTTGGGAAATCTAGGGGTGATATTAATTTGGAAATGATTCCATTCGCTTTCTCAGCTCATTTTTCGTAGGATTACAACAAAAAGTGCCCAAATTTTACAATGTGTTCAGTTTGGGAATTCTAAGAGAGATATGGATTTGGAGATTTTTCCGTTCGCTTTCCCAGCCCAGTTTGTCTAGGATTATACCAAGAACAGCACAATTTTCTGAATGGTTCCGATTTGGGAAATCTAGGGGTGATATTAATTTGGAGATGATTCCATTCGCGACCAGCCTATATTGCGTAGGTTTACACCAATAACTGTGCAAATTTCCGAAAGTATTCAATTTGGCAAATCCAAGAGAGAAATGGGCTTGGAGATGATTCCATTCGCGACCAGCCTATATTGCGTAGGTTTACACCAATAACTGTGCAAATTTCCGAAAGTATTCAATTTGGCAAATCCAAGAGAGAAATGGGCTTGGAGATGATTCCATTCGCGACCAGCCTATATTGCGTAGGTTTACACCAATAACTGTGCAAATTTCCGAAAGTATTCAATTTGGCAAATCCAAGAGAGAAATGGGCTTGGAGATGATTCCATTCGCGACCAGCCTATATTGCGTAGGTTTACACCAATAACTGTGCAAATTTCCGAAAGTATTCAATTTGGCAAATCCAAGAGAGAAATGGGCTTGGAGATGATTCCATTCGCGACCAGCCTATATTGCGTAGGTTTACACCAATAACTGTGCAAATTTCCGAAAGTATTCAATTTGGCAAATCCAAGAGAGAAATGGGCTTGGAGATGATTCCATTCGCGACCAGCCTATATTGCGTAGGTTTACACCAATAACTGTGCAAATTTCCGAAAGTATTCAATTTGGCAAATCCAAGAGAGAAATGGGCTTGGAGATGATTCCATTCGCGACCAGCCTATATTGCGTAGGTTTACACCAATAACTGTGCAAATTTCCGAAAGTATTCAATTTGGCAAATCCAAGAGAGAAATGGGCTTGGAGATGATTCCATTCGCGACCAGCCTATATTGCGTAGGTTTACACCAATAACTGTGCAAATTTCCGAAAGTATTCAATTTGGCAAATCCAAGAGAGAAATGGGCTTGGAGATGATTCCATTCGCGACCAGCCTATATTGCGTAGGTTTACACCAATAACTGTGCAAATTTCCGAAAGTATTCAATTTGGCAAATCCAAGAGAGAAATGGGCTTGGAGATGATTCCATTCGCGACCAGCCTATATTGCGTAGGTTTACACCAAAAAGAGCACAATTTTCTGAATGGTTCCGATTTGGGAAATCTAGGGGTGATATTAATTTGGAGATGATTCCATTCGCGACCAGCCTATATTGCGTAGGTTTACACCAAAAACAGCACAATTTTCTGAATGGTTCCTGTTAGGGCAATCTAATAGAAATATACATTCGGAGATGATTCCATTCGCTTTCCCAGCCCATTTTGGGTAGGTTTACATCGAAAACAGCACAATGTTCTCAATGGTTCCGGTTTGCGAAATCTAGCGGAGATTTTCATTTGGTGGACATAGTTCTATTCGCTTTCTCAGCTCATTTTGCATAGGATTACAACAAAAACTGCACAAATTTTTGAATTTGTTCAGTTTGGGAATTCGAAGAGAGATATGGATTTGTAGATATTTCCATTCGCTTTCCTAGCCCATTTCGCGTAGGTTTGCCCCAAAAACAACACAATTTTCTGAATGGTTCCTGTTTGGGAAATCTAAGATCGGTATGCATTTGGAGATGATTCTATTCGCTTTCCCCGCCCGGTTTGCGTAGGTATACAGCGAAAACGCACAATGTTCTGAATGGTTCCGATTTGGGAAATCTACGGGTGATATTAATTTGGTGGAGATAGTTCCATTCGCTTTGTCTGCTCATTTTGCGTAGGATTACAACAAAAACTGCACAAATTTTTGAATGTCTTCAGTTTGGGAAATCTAAGATAGATATGGATTTGAAGATTATTCCATTCGCTTTCCCAGCCCATTTTGCGTATGCCTACACCAAAAACTGCACAAATTTCCGAATGCATTCAGTTTGGGAAATCTCCGATCGATATGGATTTGGAGATAATTCCATTCGCTTTCCCAGCCCATTTTGTGAAGGTCTACTTTTCTCAATAAAAAAATAATTGATGATGAGAAACTTCATAACAGTAAATAACATACATAATTTTTATAAAAACATTTCACCACTCTCAAACTGTTGCCTTTAAATACCAGCATGCATCCTTGATCCTTCAAAGTTGAATAACTCCTTTCCTGATACTTGGTGAACACCAGCTCCATGACGCATGATATTGATTTGCTCATATCATAGCCCATAAACTCCAGAAACAGGAATTTACCTGAAAAAGAGCAATAAAGAATGAAATAGAAATCTCTGACACATGCTATAATCGCTCTATCGACAACACATTCCCAGAAAATGACTAAATACACACGACAATGACCTCAATATGTACCTCTATTAATGAAAATAAAATAAAAGAACCAAACATACTAACGGAATTACCACATTCCCAATGTTTCCTTATCCTGGCCTATCCAGAGTGTCCAGGTACAGCATCGACATGCTTCCCAACTCCCAAAAGTGCCTGATGACTACTGCACCCCCTTCCAAAGCTCGAGAGACCATTGGTGTCCTTTCCCAAAGAGCTTTCCCACGTGTTAACCTGCAAACACGAAAAATAAATTAATATTTGGCAGAATAACTATTTCTGGCCCATCCTGAGCATCCTAAGCCTCCGAACAGACCCTGCAGAGTCAAATTAAATAAACAGATATAATACAGGCATGTCAAATTAATAAGAAATATTGTTTAATCATAGTCGTCCTCGCGACACTAATATTTACCATAATAAGCAGAATTATACCTCACTCTTATATATTTCTTTAGGGCAGATCGTCCTAATTTTCCTATGCCTCAAGTGCTTTCCTGAAAAGGGAAAATAATATAATCATTTACATGAAATAATACATATTCTATTTCAGCTACCTTATAAAATAAATAAATATGGACATAAAATTTTACGTATTACAGTTACGCACAAGGTAGCCAGTTACTCCGATGTCCAAATAATAATCCTGGAAAAGGAGTAAATAACAGTAAATAAATAAATATATCGGATTATCATTTCAGAATGACAATGCAAATAATATAGACAATTTAAATGTCTCAATTCAATCAATATTTTTCCTAAGCAAATAAAGCTATTATTCTCTCCTTGCGAAAAGGAAATATTAATCGGAATAACTATTCATATGGAAAGTCCAATAAAATAAACAATAAATCTGAGAGACTATATGACAATACATTCAAAATAAACTCAGTCAAAACAGAACCATGGGGAGCATAACCTCACCTGTCACTTCGACAAAAGCCAATATATTGAAATCTAAGCAATGAATGCAGGTNCAATATTTTTCCTAAGCAAATAAAGCTATTATTCTCTCCTTGCGAAAAGGAAATATTAATCGGAATAACTATTCATATGGAAAGTCCAATAAAATAAACAATAAATCTGAGAGACTATATGACAATACATTCAAAATAAACTCAGTCAAAACAGAACCATGGGGAGCATAACCTCACCTGTCACTTCGACAAAAGCCAATATATTGAAATCTAAGCAATGAATGCAGGTAAAATCATGAAAATTTATAATTAAAATATGTGGAGAGGAACAGAACACTTTAAAAATAATCAAAAATATAAAAAGTCAATAAATAAATATTTACCTATTTTACTCCTCTCGTATACGTTGACAGCCTATTGTCACTCGAAAACATGACCTCAGAAAAATCAATAATGCTGAAAATAATAAAAGTTCATTAGAAACTTAACAAATATACACTTTGAAAATACGTATCTCAGAGAAAATATGTGTCACTATGACATTGCGTTAGGTCATGCGCACAACTATCCCAGCGACAGTCGCTGCTTGCGGTAATGCTCGTTCGAAGCGCCGCTAAGTATCCAAACCTGTAACTAAAAATAATCGAATTAATTCAATTAAAATGAAATTAAATGAAATAATATTTAGGGACCAATAAGGAGCCCACGATAAACAAATAATACATGAAATACTAATTAGGGACCAATAAGGAGCCCACGATACATTCAATGTGAACGATAAATGCGAAATAAAGTAAATTTATGAGCGATCGAGCTCTGCAATAACTGAGAAACTGCTATTTTGTCTCAACAAGGCTAACAAAAGAACAAAAGAGAAAAGATATATCGTAGGGAGGGCGTAACAGTATTTGCCACCTTGATATTTCTGGTTAACAAATAATAAAACTCTATTAATTCGGGACCAGTAAGGAGCCCACAAATACAAATACAAAACAAATACAAAACTACTTAAAATTTTAGACGAGTTGGCCCGTCATGTTGAGGCAAGTGAGGAGCTGCGGCAACGAGGAAAGTGCTCGCGAAAATATGTCAGATCTCCTAAAATTGTAGAGTTTCCAAGAAGAGACTAAATTTCAGTACCTCAGCAGTTGTATGACTCTTTCAAACATGAAACGAAAACAAAGGCATTATCATGATCAAGAATATTAACAAAATAATTAAATGTACAATGAAAAATTGAAAAGAAACGTAAAAATACTAAAAATTGTCCGATCTATGTCATCGACGTTTCAAAAGAGAGAGAAAATTATATGTAAAACAGAAATATTGTCACAATAATTTTAATATTGTAAACTACAAGTTACTAGCAATTTACTTGCAAGCAGCCGAACGCATTATGGCCAATGCAACAGAAAGAGACAACTATGTACTATCTCTCTCCTACATACAGAAAACTACAAAAGAGGTGGAACTGTTCTTCTCCACCGAGGATACCAGCATCCTATTGGCTTTATGGCCCCACCACGGTGCACCTGTCGCACCTGCGCAGTCGAGCGCAACCTTTTAGTCGAGACGAAAAGATCTCGGAGCTACAGTCTGCAGTCGTCAGTCTACAGTAGTAGTAGTATCTCATAGCTGTTCCTTCTGAACAGAAGTATCTCATAGCTGTTCCTTCTGAACAGAAGTATCTCATAGCTGTTCCTTCTGAACAGTCAGTCTGCAGTCATCAGTCTACAGTAGTAGTCAGTACTTCGTAGCTGTTCCTTCTGAACAGAAGTATCCTGTCGTTGTTCCTTTAGAACAGTCGTCTCTCCGTGTTCGTTCGGAACGGTATCCTCTTGCTAAATTAATAACTTCGATTATCAACGGTAAAAAGCTTATAGCAAGCTTCACCGAATTTTGTTCAAGTCTCCTATGGAGTTTGGAACTTAAAGTTCATTTTATTCAAAATGGAACCCCCCTCTGGATCTCCATAAAATATTAAAACATAGAAATAACTTTGAAACTTAAATAAACCCAATTAAACCGAAATCGATTGGATTTCCGCGGTGCAGAAAGAACTGACTAGTAGCTCCGCGAACTGATCGTGTTATTTTAACAAAATTGTCAATCCATTTTATTTAAAGTGAAATAAACACAGTGAAATTAATTTAGTGAAGTTTATTCAGTGCACAAGGTGTTTTCCTTAAAATCACCGTCAGTGTTGAAAATCCTTCGAATTGTTTATCTGCAGCCTCTAGGCTGGGGATGGATATTCTAAGGTTTCTTGACAAATAGACGGCTATCACTTAGTCGAAATTTTGGCGACTTGTCTTGCCGTTTTTCCCGCACAGGGGGTAGTTTGCCAAGTTAATCCGATTTTCACTAAAGTGAAAAATGTCAGACAGTTAATTATCTTCGAGTTCCAGTCACGGGTAGCTTTATTGCCTGGACTATCCACTCGCAGATAATGGCTCACCTGATTTTCCCTATCCCTTTTAAATAATAAATTCCGAATACTAAATTCATTCGGCATTCTTTAAAATTGTTACGATAATTTTGCCGAGACGACGAGTGATCACCGACGGCTAATACTGCTGTCTCCACTCAGAACCCCACGAGAATTATCATAACGATTCAGAATGACCGACGATAGAGCTCTAGTCGATTGTTTCTNTAAAAGAGGTGGAACTGTTCTTCTCCATCGAGGATACCAGCATCCTATTGGCTTTATGGCCCCACCACGGTGCACCTGNGGGACCAATAAGGAGCCCACGATAAACAAATAATACATGAAATACTAATTAGGGACCAATAAGGAGCCCACGATACATTCAATGTGAACGATAAANGTCGTTCCTGACCACCTGTGGATTCAAGGGCGCTTTCGTTGTTTCAGCCTAGAGAAGGACGATAATCCGAGTGCAGAGCAGAATATCTTCCTCCGAAGCATCCAGGAAAAGTGGTAAGCAAATTGAAAATNAAGGCTAACAAAAGAACAAAAGAGAAAAGATATATCGTAGGGAGGGCGTAACAGTATTTGCCACCTTGATATTTCTGGTTAACAAATAATAAAACTCTATTAATTCGGGACCAGTAAGGAGCCCACAAATACAAATACAAAACAAATACAAAACTACTTAAAATTTTAGACGAGTTGGCCCGTCATGTTGAGGCAAGTGAGGAGCTGCGGCAACGAGGAAAGTGCTCGCGAAAATATGTCAGATCTCCTAAAATTGTAGAGTTTCCAAGAAGAGACTAAATTTCAGTACCTCAGCAGTTGTATGACTCTTTCAAACATGAAACGAAAACAAAGGCATTATCATGATCAAGAATATTAACAAAATAATTAAATGTACAATGAAAAATTGAAAAGAAACGTAAAAATACTAAAAATTGTCCGATCTATGTCATCGACGTTTCAAAAGAGAGAGAAAATTATATGTAAAACAGAAATATTGTCACAATAATTTTAATATTGTAAACTACAAGTTACTAGCAATTTACTTGCAAGCAGCCGAACGCATTATGGCCAATGCAACAGAAAGAGACAACTATGTACTATCTCTCTCCTACATACAGAAAACTATAAAAGAGGTGGAACTGTTCTTCTCCATCGAGGATACCAGCATCCTATTGGCTTTATGGCCCCACCACGGTGCACCTGTCGCACCTGCGCAGTCGAGCGCAACCTTTTAGTCGAGACGAAAAGATCTCGGAGCTACAGTCTGCAGTCGTCAGTCTACAGTAGTAGTAGTATCTCATAGCTGTTCCTTCTGAACAGAAGTATCTCATAGCTGTTCCTTCTGAACAGAAGTATCTCATAGCTGTTCCTTCTGAACAGTCAGTCTGCAGTCATCAGTCTACAGTAGTAGTCAGTACTTCGTAGCTGTTCCTTCTGAACAGAAGTATCCTGTCGTTGTTCCTTTAGAACAGTCGTCTCTCCGTGTTCGTTCGGAACGGTATCCTCTTGCTAAATTAATAACTTCGATTATCAACGGTAAAAAGCTTATAGCAAGCTTCACCGAATTTTGTTCAAGTCTCCTATGGAGTTTGGAACTTAANGACCGATACACCCGGAGATCGATTGATCCGCCAAATTTAAGTCGTGAAGTTACCGTGAACGGAAAATCGAGCATGTCAACTCAACCTGGTAACGGCAAGTCATGTTGTAGTCGGCTGCCGCTCGACGGCTATAANATTAATTTAGTGAAGTTTATTCAGTGCACAAGGTGTTTTCCTTAAAATCACCGTCAGTGTTGAAAATCCTTCGAATTGTTTATCTGCAGCCTCTAGGCTGGGGATGGATATTCTAAGGTTTCTTGACAAATAGACGGCTATCACTTAGTCGAAATTTTGGCGACTTGTCTTGCCGTTTTTCCCGCACAGGGGGTAGTTTGCCAAGTTAATCCGATTTTCACTAAAGTGAAAAATGTCAGACAGTTAATTATCTTCGAGTTCCAGTCACGGGTAGCTTTATTGCCTGGACTATCCNACCATTCGGCTTCCCAAAAATTTCGAATCTCGTTCTTAACTTCATGGAACCGTGTTTCCTTGCATTTCTGAAAAATAAATAATTTTCGTTCATTTTCTGAGAATCCAACGGGAATACGTAACACTACCCAGCCCTTTTTGCGTAGTTTTACACCAAAAACAGCACAATTTTCTGAATGGTTCCGGTTTGGAAAATGTAGCGGATATATTAATTTGGTGGGTGAAAATATTGCCCTACCTTCTCCTGTAAAAATATCTCGAATTTTCAAAAAAAAAAATCAAGGAAATTCTAAGGTGTTTGAGTACGTTCTAGAAAATTCTTAGCTTTTCGAGAAAATTATAGGAAAATTCTCCGGTTTTCGAGAAAACTCTAGGGATATCTTTAGCGGACCAAGTTGAACTCTCCATAATTTCCTGTTTTTGAGAGAAAATTCAGCGTCAGTGGAGAGTCGGAGTGACGAAGCCAAAAATATATTTTATGCAAACCGATCTCTTTACTATCGACTTTTTTTAACCTGTCAGTAGGCGCGCGGTTCCACCACCTTATTCTTGAGACGCGCAATAAGGGAATCTCAAACCAAATGGCTCTATTAATGCGAGAAGCCGATGAGCCATAGGCGGTGCTGTTCGGCGTTCTGCGACACGAGCCCCATACCCGTAACAGGTGGAAAATTTCGACCTTGTTGAAGAAAATATTATTTTTCTACTCAACCCTGATCAATAGACGACTTTTATGACCATGAGAGTCAACTAGAAGTTACTCAACAAAACAAAACACAAAAAACAAAAACAAAAAAAATTCAAATAGAATTAAAATTTAGAGAGAAGAAATTCCGATTCGCCCAGCCGGGATTCGAACCCGGGTCTCCCAGTTACGCGCCGGGCACTCTTACCGACTAAGCTACCGGGAACCACGGAAATTCTCACTCCAAATTCAACTCAGCACGCTGCCTAACCACCTTTAGGCATT